GTGGATAGAAAGTCTGGAAGGTGGATGTGAGGAATCAAGGGGGAAAGTACCCCCTCAACTATTAATTTTAAATTATCACCTGCCATCTAGTGATAGTATGGGAAACTACAACAATATATCTACAACCTCTAAATTAATGAGTCAGCTAAAAAAAATGTTTAGGGATTACAGGATTTTAAGAGGAGCTGTGGCAGAAGCAGTCTCTAAATTGAAACTAACCTCTCCTCCAAAGTCCACAAAGGTGCTGAGTAACATATAGCAATAGCACAGAGGGAAAAGCATGGACTCAAATCTTGGCTCTACAACTAACAGTGAGACATTAGACATGTTACTGACATTCCAGGGAGTGACCAGATGACATCTATACAGTTATGGGGATCAAATTTATAAAATACTTAAAATGGTTCCTGGCATGTAGTAATCCTATATAATAAAGAGGTAATATGCAAATTAACCCTCACATCCTCACAAGATGGCTGTCTATAACCAGGCCCGCAGGGGGTTAGTGAGGGATGACCAAACAACTGAACAAGCAGCTGAGTGGGGCAACCAAGCCAGCAGAGGGGGCAGTTAGGGGCAACTAGGCCAGCAGAGGAGGGCAATTGGAGGTGACATGGCTGGCAGAGGGGGCAGTTGGGGGCTATTAGGCCAGCAGGGAGGGAGAAGTTGGGAGCAACCTGGCTGGCAGCAGAGGGAAGTTAGGGGCAACCGGGCCAGCAGGGGAGCAGTTAGGGGTGATCAGTCTGGCATGCAGAATCAGTGAGGAATAATAAGGCCAGTGGGGGAAGAGGGTTTTTGACCTGGCAGGCAGGTGAGCAATTAGGAGCCAGCGGTCCAGGCTTGTGAGAGGGATGTTCACCTAGGGGTCCTGGTTTGGAGAGGGTATAGGCTGGGCTGAGGGGATCCCCCATGCACGAATTTCATGCACCAAACCTTTAGTACTTCAATAAATGGTAGTTGTCATTGATGTCAATCTCATGGTTTTCCCACAGCACAGATATATCTTATATACATTTCATGTTATTGTCTCACCCACTAGGAGGAGCTCAGGACATACCGATTGACACATAGGTTGTATCTTGAGTGTAAAAGCTGCATAAAATTTAGCTGAATAACTGGACAAATCAGTTACATTATTTAAAACAATGAGGTTTAACTCTTGACCGTCCATACCAATTTTACTTGATTTGAATGATGTCCTAACAAACCAGCAACCACTAAAAAGCTCAACTCCCTGTTATCAACTCGGACAGGCTGAAATTCCCCTGACACTTGTGACAATTGTTGCAGTGAGTCAGCTGATCATAGTGGTCATTGACTTCCATAAACTGTAACTTAGATGTTCTGAGGAACCCAGCTCAACACAAGGTGTACCGTAAACCATCTAAAGTATGTGGGAGTATACAGGCTCTTTCATCTCCTTTATCAGAAAAGACCATGTAGAAACAAAACATTTGTCCACAGTGCAGCCTGGGACCATTTTAATTTAATTGTAGAACAATTCTATTAGAATTGTCTGCTGAACTCTACTGTTAGTCAAGTTCATTGCATTATATCAAACTTATATAACTTATTTATTTTTTAAATATATTTTTATTCATTTCAGAGAGGAATGGAGAGGGAGAGAAAGACAGAATCATCCATGATGAGAGAGAGTCATTGATCAACTGCCTCTTACACTCCCCATACTGGGAATGGAGCCCACACTGGGCATGTGCCCTGACAGGGAATTGAACTGAGAATTTCTGGTTCATAGGTCAATGCTCAACCACTGAGCCATGCTGGCCAGGCAAGCCTATTTTATTTAAACTGATGGTCTTCACCCTCCAATTCCAGAACATAATAGGCACTCAAAACATTGAAGCATTAAAGGGATGAATTCCTTAATTCATTCAACTAATATTTAATGACTATTTACTATGCTCTAGGCATTGTTTGCATGGGTCAACAACACACAAAAAGTTTTTTTAAAAAAAACCCTGACCTCATCAACTTCATATAATAATGGGAAGAAATTCTCCATACACAAAATAAATAAATAAATAAAATGTGTAATTAGAGCAACCAGTGCTAATGAGAAAAGTAAGACAGGGAAGAGTCATGCAAAAATTCAGGCATGCATGAAGAGGTGTTGAGGAAGCCCACAGAAAAAATTTATGCTCAGGAGGAAATTCAGAGTGTCCATGACCCAAGGACAGTGATTCACTTTTGGAGACAAAGAGCAACTGTGCAAGCAACCCACCTGGGTGCTTGAGCCTAAGTCCCAGGGAGAAAAGCCCCCATGGGACAGTTTGAGTAGCCTCTCCTTGAACAAGGCCAGAGACCTGCTTGGAAACTATGGGATGGGATAGCCAATATCCATAGATGGGAGAGTTTTCCTATTCCAGCTTCCACTTCAAGCACTGAAATGCCTCATGGGCCCTTTGGGCAGGAATAGCAGTTCTAGAAACTCAGGGAGTCCTGGCCTAACGCAGTTCTGGATGTAGTACCAACAGATGGTGGCACCTTTGTGGACTTGTTGGTGAAGTCATAGGCTTTCCTACAGCTCTATGGCACTAGAGGGAAAGGGGTAGATTCCACACTAAGCCAACCATGAATTGAGAAGAAGCGGGGAATCCCAAACAGGATTTTGGGAACCAGGGAAGTGAGGCATGAGACTTTGAAGAACCCACAATATTCAATGAGATTCAATAAAGAGACTTAGTTTCATGTAATCTGAGAGACACAGGGTATACAAAAATCATACAAAGATTTAATTAACAGAAAGCAGTATTTAAAAAAAAATAAATCTGTAGATTGCATATGGAATTTGGAAACCCTGCCAAATCCCAGTCTGGTAAATGTCAGCCAACAGCTTTATTATGTCTTAACAAAGGATCTTTTCAACATGATGCTGAAGGTGCTTGGGGACCAGACTGGGGAATTCTTGGCATAAATGTCAGAGCTGTTGTGGCTGACTCTGACTCATATCCATATTACTGGACAATTCCATCACCCAATTAAGCATTCCAGTGGCGCCTTTCACTGTCACACCTAAATTGTCAAATATGCTATCAACGTGTAACCAAAATAAATCATGAGCTGGCTGTGAAACTGCCTCAGTCCTACAAAAGTGATTATTGACAGGGAAAATGCTCTTTTGTGATTTAATCCATGCAGTTTATAATGCCTCTTTCCCATCACGAAGATGGCCATTTGGAAACCCAAGTGATAATTGTCCTCTTGACCAGGAGTTCAACCAGCAGGCAGGCCAGCCAACTGCCCATGTCCCCTCCCCTCCCCTTGGCCAGGCTGGCTTACTTCACATGCACAAATTCATGCACCAGGCCTCTAATATATATATATATATATATATATATATATATATATATATATATATATATCAGATTATTAAATGTTCAAAGAGCATAATAATCTGGCCACTCAATGTGTGTGTGTGTGTGTGTGTGTGTGTGTGCATGGAGGGGAAGTGTTGTGTCCCTCAGCCAAGTCTGCACCCTCTCTAATCTGGGACCCCTTGAGGGATGTCCAACTGCCCGTTTAGGCCCTATCCCTAACTGGGATCAGGTCTAAACAAGCAGTTGGACATACCTTCACAATCCAGGACTGCTGGCTCCAAACTGCTCAACTGCCTGCCTACCTAATTGCTCTTAACCACTTCTGCTTTCCAGCCTGATTACCCCCTAAACATTCCCTTGCCAGTCTGATTGATGCCTACCTGCTCTCCTGCTGGCCCGATTGCCCCTAACTGCCCTCCCTTGCCCACATGGTCACCCTTAACTGCCCTCCTGGTTCACCCTTAACTGCCCTGCCCTGCCAGCCTGGTTGCCCCTAACTGTCCTCCCCTGCAGGCCTGGTTGCCTCCAACTTCCTCCCCTGTTGGCCCAGTAGCCCCTAACTACCTTCCCTTGCCAGCCTGATTGCCCCTAACTGCCTTCCCCTACAAGCCTGGTCCCCCCAACTGTCCTCTCCTGCAGGCCTGGTCCCCCCAACTATCCTCCTCTGCAGGCCTGGTCACCCCTAACTGCCCTTCCTCCAGGCCTGATCACCCCCAACTGCCCACCCTTTCAGGCCTGGTCCTTTCAACTGCCCTCCTATGCTGGCTTGATCACTCACAATTGCCATTCCCTGCCAGCCATCTTGTGGTGGCCATCTTATTGTCCACATGGGGGTGGCCATCTTGTGTGTTAGAATGATGGTCAATTTGCATATTACTCTTTTATTATATATATATATATATAAAATATGGTGCTGGAACTTAGGAAATGAACAATGAAAGGACCAAAATCTTTTAAAGTCATCACTATGGGGTAGCAAATCTGGTGTTTGGCTGGAGGTATATGTATCTTTTGGAGTCTGGCTATGCTGAGCTGAATGCCTCACTGAGCTCTGCTTTCTCTATTGATACAAAGAGGAAACACGTGCCACCAGCAGAAAGAGATCAAAAGAGAGTCTATTATTCAATTTAGGGTCTGACAAAAATTTGACCAAAAGTTCCACTAAAATGGCTTCAAATAACATAAGGCATTTCATGTATTTATTATAGTCAATACAGAAGTTTGAACTAAAATTCAGGATGTTACATTTACAAATGCAAGGAAAATGACAATATTTTAAAATCCAACCAAAATGGGAACCCTTCGATTGGTTTTCTAGAGGTGGAGTGGTCATTTATTCAAGAACTCACTGATATACACAAGTCAAGAAAATGTAATTGTTTAAAATTTCCCTCAATGACTTGATTATGTCACCAGACAGTACTAAAATGAGGCCCCAAAGAGAAGAGAGCCAGAAAGCCATTTTCTGTAAATATACATTCTTCCATGGTTATCATAACCTTAGGGTTCAGTAACTCATGGAATAAGTTGGGAGAGATCCTAGACCCATTTTTCAGACAAGCAAACTTGGGCACAAAGGTGTGATAGATGGGAACTGCTCTGAGTCATGGGTTTATCCCGGTACCTCCTTTGTGACTCTGAGCCTTGCTCAACCCCATTTGCTTAGGGAGAGGCAAGTTTGCCACAGAAAAGAATGGTGTTGGTGCCTGTGTGCCTTATGAAGAACAGGAAAGGATGGTTTGCCATGAACTGAACTCGGATGGGGAGTCGTTTAATGACAAAGTTGTCCCCAGTGGCTGCTGCTGCCTCTGTGCCCTCTTCGTTGACATCCACATATGACTTGTGGATGACCTTTGATACATACAGCCCCTTGGCTGGTGACATTCCAGACAGATCAGCTTTACTCTGGTGGAAGACATCTGTCATTCCGAGAGATTTTAGCAGGGAATTCAGCTCATACTTGATCTCCAGTTTGAATCGGGGCAAATGGACTTCGACATCCCTTTCCTTCATGTTGGAGGAGCTGGTCCATTTGTGAAATGTCTTCACATTCAGCGTCTTCTCTATCTAAGAGAAAACACAAATGGATCCACAGGAGCCAAGCCCACACCGCCACATTAATTGCTGTCTGTTTTATAATTCTCAGAGTGAATTACTCAATTCCACCGACTTCTCTTCTACCTTTAAACTGTGCTCAAGTTTTACCTGAGAAAGAAAAGAATCCTGCATTTATCCACATCTTCCATTTTCTATTGTCTACTTCTCATCGATATTTCATAATTAAACTTATCCAATGTGTGTTAATGTGCAGGCTTTACCTAAACTCTAATGCCTCTGCAATTGTGTTCTCATTTCCTGGAAGAACTTAAGTACTTCTTGGTTCTCATATCTGAAACATTTAGTAGCAATCTCCATTATGAACTCGTTTGTCACTTGGCTTCTGTGACATGGGGACATCTTGTTCCACTCCACTTTAATCTCCTCCTATCCCCACTCTTAAAGTTGACCTCTGGGTGCCTACACTTAACAAGTCAATTCCCACATCCCTGCTCAGATTTCCCAAAGTAGCCTCACAATTCTGACTTATTCTCCACCCAGTTCCAGATGTTTTTGTAAACTCTTTACACTTCTGACCTTGGACATTTGAAACTCTCTACAGACCTCTCCACAGCTCTAAACTAGCATGGCAAACCCCATCATTCCTCTGCTACAAGAGTTGAAGACTTTTGGGTCACCTCACCATCCCGACAATATCAGATCAGTGGTTTTGCTTTCTATCTTTTCCTTTGTCTTTTTGTACCCTGATCCAAGTTACCACAACTTCATGACACAAAGTCATCTCATTGCCTCATGCTTCTAAGGCCTTTGCAGGTGCACTTTGCTCTGATTAGAACAGCACCCATGTATGTACAAGTGCTACTGCAAAGGCCCAGAAGCTCAACTGGTCTCCTAGGCAACAGTCATGCTGGCAGAGCACTGGACAGTCCCAGCAAAGCTGGGAGGAGCTGTGGTCACTCCATAGCAGTGTCTTGCCTGCTCTATGCCAGGCAACTCTGATAGCAGCCAGGAAGAAGGGTCAAACTCAAACTCGGCCCAACATTTTGACCTCTTCTCGGTGGCTGTGGCTCTCATTTCCCCTCAAAACAAGATGCTAAACATGGTGATCGGCCCACAAAAGCATGCAATTTTTGGATCAGCAATACTGCTCCTAAGAGGAAGATGACTTCATTAGATGTCCACAGCCTGGGAGCCCAACCTGCATTATAATTTCATTACGACGGTGTTTCTTCAGTGTCAAATGATCAATATGTGTGTGCAGCATGGCCTTTTTGCTACCAGATAGATGCCTTTTTAAATATAACACCAGGTTGTTATATTTAAAACATGTTTCCCTAAATACATTATCCTGAAGGCAGGGGCCAGGAATCCCTCCTTTCCTCTCACAGTCCTTGGGCCAATGCTGCTAAACCAGCTCTTGGTCAAATTAGTGCTGGCTGCACTGATATTGTGGGATATACAAAGTGTGGAGTGTGTGTGTGTGTGTGTGTATGTGTGTGTGTGTGTATGTGTGTGTGTAATGTGTGTGTGTGTGTGTGGTGCATGTGCATGAGAGTTTTTTCTGCTGTCAGCATTCCTGTAACATACCTGTTCTAGAGTCACCCTGCCCGTGGGAAGCAGGATGATCATGCTTAGTTTGTCCTGCACGTAGGGCAACTCAAGCACTTGCATCTGCGGCTCCTTTATGAAGGCCAGTTTAAACCTTCCCGTTTGATACATCATTTCCACAATTACGCTCTTACCCTATGTATTTGAAAGATTGTAATTAGACAATAATTAAACATGTGTGTGCACATGCATGTGCACTGATTTTCTTGCATTACAAATCTCTACACTAACACTCTAAACACATGGGTAAAATATCAACTACAAAACACACACTTATTGCTTTCCTTTGAAAAGATTATTATTTTATATTTCAATATAAGTCCTGGTGAGAGCCAAATTGTTTAAGTAATGAAAACAGTAATAAAAACAATAATATAGATGTTTCTCCAAAAAAGCCAGGGTTTCCCGATAAAATGAGTTATATAGGAAAATGATATCATGGGAACATTTCCTTTTTAATTCAATTGGCTATTTTTTAGCAGAAAAATAATAGTTGTGTTGTGCCCCTAGAGCAAATAGCCATAGCATATATGGAGAGAACACTCAGGTAGGAGAACAGCCAGGAAAGAACAGGCTTTCTCTTCTTCCGGGACACCTCAATGTCTAGAGCCTCCACTCAGGTGCCTCTGAGAAAGGTTATTGTCACTTCATAGGGAAAATGAAAATAAAATTCATAGACGACATAGTTAAAGGTACCTACAGAGATCTAGACGAGTATTTCCACTAAAACTTCCTAACCTGTCCATAAAAGTTATTGCAGTCTCCAAAATGTACCATCGATCTGAAAATGAAACACGTACCTCACTTAGCTGAAAAGGGGTTTTAATTGTCTCTCTTTCCTGAAATTTATTTTGCCATTGTCCTTTGAAATATATGGCATTCACCAGGACCATCACAGAAGAAGGGTCAATTGTGCCCTTTCCAAAAAGGTTTGTAATTTTTCCTTTTAATAAGAAAAAGAATAGATAATAGATTTGGATTTAAACTTATTGATAATAGTTAGTCACAATAGCTAACATTAAGTGATATATATATATATATATATAATATTTTAAATTGATAAATATATAAATGAATTATTAAATAAAAGCAATACTCTAAATAAATACCCAGCATGTGGATTCCTAATGAACACCCATGGCAAATAACACCAATCAATATTCATTTATTCTAAAAATATTTTAAGACTTATGTGTGCCAGGCACTGTTCTAGGCACAAAACTGAGCCTAGAACACTAAACTAAACAAACAAAAATCCCTATTATTTTTAACATCCTAGTGATTCCACTGTGGGCTTTTTCAGGTAAAGTCTCAGACTCTTTCTCACCACAGAGTTCCCAGGCAGCCACTAGCAGTGGACCAGAGCTGGCATGTAAGATAAAACATATTATCCTCTACTGTTCTAAGTAAATTAACATGTCAAAAAAATGTGTAGAATTTTCCATGCATTTTCTAGTAGTATAAAGTCCTAAATTGATACATATTTTAATCTGGTCACCTATTACTGAATTTGAATAACATCCATCAATTGACAAGATACTTTTGAGAGGTCACTGCTGTTAAATGATATAATAGACACAAATATGTTAGCAATAAAAGTCAGAGAACTCTTAAGGTCTGGGAATGGGGTGGGTTAGTTTCTGAGAGGAGACACGAGAATGACCCTGGGAGTGTCCTTCCCAATAACTAATATTTGTTTTCCTGACCTGGGTGGTGGTACACCAGAGTATTTATCATTGTGATAATTCATTGAGGAGCAAACACATGCATATACTTTTCTAAATATACACATATTTCAATAAAAAAAGTTTATTAAAAACTCAAGCTCTAAGGAACATATTAGATAACCAATTGCAATGTGCAAGCATTATTTGGATTCTGATTCAAACAAAAAAAGAGGCAACTGGGGGAATAAAAAAATTCATTAAATATTTGTTAATATTAAATAATTTTTTAAAAATTTCTAGGTGTAATAATGGTATAGTGTTCATATTTTTAAAAAGCCTATATTTTTGACAGGCACAAACTGAAACAGAGAGAGAGAAATAAGATATTGGGATTGGCTCCCAAATAATCTGAAAGAAGTGGGAAAAGGGCATGGCTATACTAAATAATATTGGCTTAAGTAATAAGTATTGCAGTTGAGTGATGGATGAATAAGGATTCCTTCTAGTTTCTGTTTTTTCTTTAATTTTTTCCTTACCTAGATTTTTTTAAAGAAATGAACACATCTTTGATATGAACATTTAAAAAGAAATATTTAACAATACATATGCAAAATTGTGAAAGGTAGATTTAAATTTAATTAAACTTACTGGCAGAATGTATGACAATACTTCTCTAATGGAGAAACAGTGTTTGTTTCATTCTCATAATCACTTGGCTAGATCATTGAGGACAATGGATAGAAGAGATTTTCCAAAATAATCCTCCACTTCATCCACTGTTAGTTTGTTGTGTCTATTTCTGGACCTCACCCTGCTTTCTTGTTAACACTGACTCAAGGAGTTTACCAGCACAAATCAAGTTTGGAGACATACATGTGACTTATCCTCACCATTAGTTTTGCTTTCAACCCAAGCATTAATAGTTTGCCTGGTTTCTTCCGTAGACTTTTGAAAATCAACAACTTGAAGCCTGGCTTGATACAGTTTCTCAGAACAACTTAAATATTGCTATAAAAGAAAGGATAACTGTGTAAGAACACAAAAATAATGTAAGGAAAACAAATATCTCCAGTTCGATGTATTCTAAAATCATAACAGACAAAAGCATTTTGTGTATATATGTCTGAAAGGAAGCAGAATCCATACAAAGACATTTAATCAAATCAAAAAAACTTTCCCAAAGAAATGTTCAGGAATTTTTTATTGCTACTTCTGTCATCTCATGGACATTCTTAGCTTTAAAATGTTCAAAGCAAAATGACAAATTGCAGTAGAGCGTCTATCTTTTCATTCTATCCTTCTAATTTCCTCTTCAAAGGATACAAACAAATGGGAGTTACTGCTCTAATGTTCACATAGGAAAATTGAGAACCAGAGTGATTAAATGGTTTCCTTGTTTGAGGTCTAACAAAGGATTAGGTCTCTACATGGTATATTTCAACCTCCACATGAGCCACCACAAGTAAAATTAATAATAGTATTCTCTGGTGTAGACATTGACATTTTGTTCAACTTTATATAAAATCACACTGGTCAAACAAAAGCTAAGACACGAAAGGCAGCAGGTCACCTCAATCACAGCAGGATGACATAGCAATGAAAAACAGGAATGTGGGTTTGGATAGGGATCAAATTCTGGCTTTGTCACTTAGTTATCTCTGTGACCTTTCTCAACTTGACTTTTCATTATTTGCTTCACAATTGTGGCATTAATGACAATTTTGTACCTATATCTTAGGACTATGTAAGGACTATATAAGATAAGGTTTATAATCTATATAGTAGAGTGATTGACACATAGTAAATACTCAATAAAATTCCATATTCCAATGGTATTGAGAAATAGCATAAATAGTGTTAGAATTTTGTAGCAAAAAAAAAAAAAAAAAAAAAAAAAAAAAAAAAAAAAGCTTGGTCTAATCCTCTCATTTTAAATGTAGAAGTGACTTGCTCAAAGTCATATGTCTACAGGAGAACAGAACTCAGATCTCTTGCCTCCCAGTCCAGTGTACTTTCCACTAATTCTTGATACTCTGCCTCTTAGGACCTTTGAAGAAGAGATGAGAAATGGATTTTTGATTTTTTTTATTCTGGCCCATAAGGGTTAATTCTTACCTGCTTTGTTTTGCGCTTCATCCTTAACATTGGTTCTTGGACAATTTTGGCGATATTGCAGAGGTAATGTTTTATTTTTTTATGTGATATTTCATAACCTTAAATGGGGGCTTTCATTGAAACTCTAACGGGTTCAAATTTAATCTCTTAAAGATAAATGTGACTCTTCTCATTTGTGATTTATCTTATGGTGTGAAATTCAGAGGATATCAAGAAAGATGTTGACCACCATCCCAAATGGACATACCTGATAGAATGGCATCGTCTGTGTCCCATAGAGTCTGTTAGCGATGCTTAGGGTATAGTTAGAGTCTGGCTGGTTGATTTGAGATAATAGGGCTCCAAACTCTGAGTGAATCCTTCCAGTTTGGCTGCACTAAAGAATGTAGTATAAAGTTCTAGATTAAATTGCTTGATTTATAAAAGAATTATAAATAACATGAAAACAACAAAGAAAGTTGAAAGCATTTTTCTTCTCTAATTTCCTCTGGCACAATAATCTCAGCTCTCTATGACCCTGGTTACAGAGTGTGTGTAGAACTGTAAGCTATTGCAAAAGCACATGCAATTCCAGCCCCAATGTTTTAATTCAAAACCCAAATTATCATAAATAAAGAGATCCTCATTGGATATTTAGGGCAATAATCTAAGTTTTCTGTGAATTTTTTTCTGCCTTTGTACCTATAGAATCATTTTTTTTCTCTCACACTCCTTTCAATATCTCCATATCTGTGACCACTTATGAGAATTCTTCAGCACTTCCTGAACTGACCTTCCACACCCATCTGTCCCTCACAGGAGGAATCTGGTTAAGCATGCAGCTTTGATGCATCGGAATTCATGGACAGTAGAGAGGTTATGCCTATATTCCCTAAAGCAAAGATTCCCTAACAAATTAGGTTCTATGAGAAAAGTATTTTGTAAATCTATACACATTTATATGCTTTCTGTTGGTCACAATCAACACACAACTATTGTCATGTGAGAGTTCTCTATAAATTTCATTTCTAAAGAAACCATCTTACTGGAAGGAACTAAGAACAGGTGGGCTGGGCAGCATCGAGCCCTGTTTTCCTGGTGTATAATTATGTGACAAAGCCTCTGTGTCTATTCTCAGTCCCCTCACTAGTCTGAAAAATGAAACACTGCACATGGCAGGCTCCACATGGCACACAGTTTGTAAAAGAACAGAAAAGTTTGAGAAAGGTTGACAGTAAGTCATATGATAAAATCTGGGGTCTTTATTATTGTCATCATTATCATTATATTAACTCTGTAGACTGTAGCAATTATCAGGAAGATTGAAGGAGGATACCAAGGAGGACATTGTAAGCCTCTTTAAGGAACAAGAAGGGGCTCTGCTATTCAACCCCTGCACCGTTATCTCTTGGTGCTCTCACAAAGAGCGTTTAGCAGCTCAGCAGTCATACCTTAGCTGAGTCCTTAAACTTTGGCTTTAATGATTCTGCAATATGATTAAAGTGAAGCACCTAGAAGATGAAAGAAGAATTAATTGGCATCAAAAGCAGCATAGAGTCTATAAAGGTTAACAGTTACAAGTACCTGTTTTTCCATTTCAGATAAAGGCCAATGCAATAACTAACATTTAAAAATGTAAAATTCCAAGTCCTGAACTAAGCCTTCACATATCTTTTTTTAATATATATGTTATTGATTGTTTACAGAGAGGAAGAGAGAGGGTAGAGAGTTAGAAACATCGATGAGACAGAATCATTGACCAGCTGCTTCTTGCACACCCCTACTGGGATTGTGCCCTCAACCAACGTACATGCCCTAGACCGGAATCGAACCCAGGACCTTTCAGTCCACAAGCCGATGCTCTGTCCACTGAGCCAAACCGGTTCCGGCTAAGCCTTTACATATCTTAACTCTCACAGCAACTTTATGAGTAGACACTATTATCCCCATTTTTTAAAAAATATATTTTATTGATTTTTTACAGAGAGGAAGGGAGAGAGATAGAGAGCTAGAAACGTCGATGAGAGAGAAACATCGACCAGCTGCCTCCTGCACACCCACTACAGGGGATGTGCCCGCAACCAAGGCACATGCCCTTGACCAGAATCGAACCCAGAATCCTTCAGTCCGCAGATCGACGCTCTACCACTGAGCCAAACTGGTTTCGGCTATTATCCCCATTTTTTGCTAGAGAAATTGAGCCAAAGAGAAATTGAGTAGGGTGACTGGGACCACTGTCTGTGAGGGCCCATGATTGAGTTGTCAATCACTCTTCTCCCCTCTCCTTCCTTTCTCACTCTATTCACTATGACAGAGCCCATCCAGGGCCACGTAAACATTACATGGTTCTCCAGCACAATACCTATTTTAAATGCAAAAATAAGTCATGAAAATAGTACATCAAAATTTGGGGAAAAAGACAAATAATAATGGAATGTGCAAGTACCTGGAAGTTATTAAATGATATTCTTCTAGGCTTTTCACATCAATAAACTATATACATAATGAAAAATCACTGTATATTGGCCTGGGTAACCTGAAAAGTCACCCTTTCAGCCTCAGTTTCCCCAACAATGAAATAGGGATAACAATAACTACTTGCCACACAGGGTTATTATGACATTCAAATACATTAATGAATTTTTTTAAAAAAAAACTCAATAATTCTTAAAGTAATATTAAATTGTACTATAAGCCGAAACTGGTTTGGCTCAGTGGATAGAGCGTCAGCTTGCAGACTGACAGGTCCTGGGTTCGATTCCAGTCAAGGGCATGTACCTTGGTTGTGGGCACATCCCCAGTAAGGGGGTGTGCAGGAGGCACTGATCAATGTCTCTCTCTCATTAATGTTTCTAACTCTCTCTCTCTCTCTCTCTCTCTCTCTCTCTCTCTCTCTCTCTCTCTCTCCCTCTCTGTAAAAAATTAATAAACTCTATTTTTAAAAATCGTACTATAAATTAAACTTCTAGAGAGCAAGAATAGTATTGTATATGTGCTTTCTGTTATGTTTAAATCATTGAAGGGAAGAACTCTAAAAGTAATTGTGGAAATGTGTGTGTGAAACCACCGGTGGTGAGGAAGAGACTGTGTGTACATGTATTGCATTATTGTCATTATGATGCTTTATATTATTTAAGCCATTATCCACTTTAAAGAAATGTGATTTGTCCAAGTGTGTTCTTTCACAAGATGGAAGTTTTATTGGTATAAAGATGTAAGGAATTTGGCTGACCCCGAGGAGGCACAGGTAAAACTTTCAGACTCGGGGACATCTTTGGTGTATTCCATACCTTTTCCATCTGTTCTGCACTGTTTCCTCTGGCACCAAGGAGTATCATACTTAGAGCATAAAGCAAACTCAGTGGGGAAAAGAAGATATTATCTTCAGCATGGTTATTGTTCAGCTCTTTGAAAACATCAAGGCAAAATTCAACATTTGTTGTGCTGAGAGAATCCATTTTAGGACCAGCACTACCTGAGAACAGAAGGGAAAACAGCTCAGAATATTATTTGGAGATATAGATAATACATTGAGTTTAGTTATTACATTTCATGAATTAAACAGCCTGAGCACATTGCTTCAGAAAGTAGAAAATGCTAGAGAGGGGAATTCACAGTAGTTTTAGATTCTAATGAATAGAAGATTTACTATTCTTTTCAACCAATGCTTCAAAGCTATCTTTTGTTCACATCTAAAAGTGATCTGTAATTGTTCTGGAGCAAAAGAGCAGAAGGAATTAGATCTTTGTGCTCTGAATTTTCATGTTTAATGACACTCCCCACGTTGGAATTTGTACAGAAAAATTCTTGAGCTATATAGACTCAGCTAAATGAGATGCTTTCCCACTAGACTGTCCACTGTCACAAGGAGAGAACACTTGCATCCTGGTCATTCATGAGTAAACAAGGTGAGAATCAATAAGACAAACTCAGGCAACCTTCTCTGCTCATTTCCTCCATGAAAGTAAAGCAATACTAGCAAATATGTCATGCCATGAGAAGGTACCCAAAGCCCTCAGCCCTGGGCCTGAGCCATGATATAATGAAAATGGGGGACTGGAAGAAGAAAATCTGAGAGAAATATATAATTCTGAAATAATGTGTTATCTAAGGACAATGGTTTGTTAGGAAGAAAGAGTTTGCTTTATTCAATTCCATAAACACTTATTGAGCAATCCTAACTATAAGGAATTGTAGATACAAAACTTACTGAGCACAGTTCTTGCCCTTGGGGAAATGACATTCTCCAAAAACCTCCATTGCCATCAAACACTTTCTTCCTTTAAACTCTAGGTCATTGCTTTTTCTTGGTTCACCACCTGCCTCACTGGGCCACTCCTTTTTGGCCTCATTTGCATAATCTCAAATTTTAGTCCTCTCCTCCATTTACACTCAGACAGGTGATCTCACCCAATTTCAAGCATTAATTGTCACTGATATGCTTTCAGCTACCAAACTGATATTGCCCCTGAATTCTAGATTCATGTATCTAACTACCTACTCAACATCTCTTCTTGAGTGTCTTATCTGAATCTCAAATTTAACATATCCAACAGCAAACTCGTGACTTCCTGAACCTCTCTGCAGCCTACACCCCTAGCAGCCATCTTGATGCTTGTAAATGACAGTTCCATTTCTTCATTTGCTCAGACTAAAAACTGTGGGATCATCCTTAAACACTTTCTCATTCACATAACATTCCATCTATCAAAAAAATCCTATTTTCTCTGTCTTCAGAAATACTCACTATCTACCAACTTCCCACACTCTCCAGCTACCACCCTAGTCAAAGCTATCATCATTTCCCTCATGGATTATTGAAGTAATCTCCCAATTCATTTTCCTACTTTAATCCTGACTCTCTTCCATTATATTTTCTAGAGAAGATGGAGTGATGTTTTTAAATAACAGTTGGTTATGTACTAACAGCAGAATTGCTTATGGCCTTTGGTCAAAAACCCTAGTGGCTTCCCTTTCTCTCAGAGCAGAGACCAGACTCCTTCATGACCTGGCCCCTACAGCTCTCAGTCTCATCTGCTACCAGCCTCCCCACCAGCTCTCTCTCTATTCTTTCTAGTCATAACACCACCCTGCAGTCCTTTAACATACCAAGCAGATTCCACCTCAAGGCTTTTGCATGTTCTATTCCTCTGCTAGGATGCTCTTTCAAAAATTACCCAAATGGCTCACTCCAGCATTTTCTCTCTCTGCTTAGATAACATCATCAATAAGGCTTTCACTGGCCACATTTCTCCAGTTATCTTTCAGTCCATTACCATTGCCCTATATATTATATATGCATAGTGTACTTATTTGTTTGCCTTATATATTATATATATATTTATAAAATATAAATAAACTATATATACATGCATATATTATAGTGTATGTTATATATTAAACATGTATTTATTGTCTGAAACCCCCTCCCTCTAGAGTACAACCTCCATTAAAACAAAGACTTTGTTTTTTATGCTTTATTTCACTACCTAGTCCCTGGCTAGCCACTCACTAAACATCTATGGAAGGAAGAAATTTTAATCAAATTAACACTAGGATATACAGGTATGATAAGGTGTCAACAAAGCCACACTTGATTAAAGAATAAGCTGCCCCTCATTTGGTTCACTGCAACCTGTCCAAATGCCATATTTTGCTACTCTGATCTGTTCCCCTTTGACAACAAAGCACAGCTGGAGTTCTTTACCTTTGTTGCTTTCTGGTGGTGAAGTGGACAGTTTGGTAGGAGAGATTGGAGCTGCGTCCCTGAAGAGGAAATATAAAGCCTTCACTTTTTGCCCCTCCCTTTCCATTTGTGTCCTTAGTGATTCAGCTCTACACTTGCTGGGAGGTAAGTTCAGCCCTCATAGGAAGGCTCCTTAAATGTCAGCTCTCAAAAGAGCTGCTTTGAGTCCCTGAGATTCTCAGGACGGCCAGTGTTTTCTGGAGAAGCGCCCAGTTCTTGAACATTCTCTGCTCTGCTAAAGGGGAAACATTGGCAAGCTAACCTCTGTTCAAGAAAATAAGCCAGCTGTCTACGAAGTGTAACATGTACTCATTCAAGTTGGTGGAGCCATATTCCACATCCCAGGGATTGCTTATGTCCACATGCAAGCACAGAGCTACTCAAATGGGAAAGATTCTGGCCGTGATGGATGCCTCCTGGCCCAAGGCACATTTGTCCCTAGATCTTTTGTGCCCTCCTCCATGAAGCATAGGTTTTTACTTGGAGCTTCAGTAATCTGCTGGCAGGTAATTCCTGTCCCATAAAAAGAACAGAAGAATGAGCTCCAGCAGGATTTATTCTGTGGTTTCAGTTTAAAAGCTTGGTAGAAGCAACAAGCCAACTGTATTTAAAGTGAGTTCAGAAGTATGTTTCAAGCCTATGTAAAAGAGATTATAGATTAGGGTTAGGGATGAAAGCTGGAGACAAAAAAGAAATGTCTGTGGTATGCAGAAGCCAGAATCAGCACTGCGACAAGCCCAGCTTACCAAAGACCATTCTTGTCCACATTATCCATAGCCCAGACTCCTGGCTTGACTCTACTGCCCAAAGGTAAGCTCTGAGGGCTGAGTGCTCTGCACTTGGGTTATAAAAAAGCTTTCAGGGCCAGTGATTTCTCTCTTCATCCTCAGCATGCAAGGTGTCCTCCCTAGACAAAAGGAAATCATTCTATTAGACATGAGAACTAGAAAGGTTAGGTTTAAAATGATGACACTAATAGCCACTATGCCCATAAAAATAGCTTTATGCAACCAACCACAGAACAAAAAGGAGTCCAGAATATATCCAGTCTGTCTGTGCTCAAAGCAAGGGTTTTCTGATGTGAGCCAATTCCAGCCAGAGGTTTCCATAGCTTGGAAACCTCATATCCATGCTTAAGGCCAATCCTGCACCTCTTCATCTGCTTTCATCTCCCTTGAGGTCTAATTTTTAAAAAGGATTGATTTTCTTAGCTTCTTTGCTAATTAAGAAGGGCTGATCAAAGGAGGTATTTTTCATCTTTGTTCTATACTGTACTCCTGTTATTTTCCCTATCAGAGGGGAAGATCTTGGGCTCATATTTTTAATTATATTTTTATTGATTTCAGAGAGTAAGGAAGAGGGAGAGAGAAATAGAAAGAGAGTATCATTGATTGACTGCCTCCCACAACCCAGGCATATGGCCTTGACCAGAATCAACCCAGGACCCTTCAGTCTGCAGGCAGACGCTCTATCCATTGAGCCTAACCGCTAAGGATCTTCGGCTTATTTGGTTTTTCTTTCCAGGTGGAAGGACATTCATTATAGAGCACTGTTTGCCTCTCTTTACTCTCTAATTCACTCCTAGTGTTTTAGTCTTAGACAAAGTCTTGCAGGCATGTAATTTACTTTGAAAATTATCTCAGGAAATAGAAAAAGTTATGCAATAATCATTAGAAGTTGGCCACGGGTTTCTGATCCCATAGACCTCCAAAAGATCCTTATAAACAGTATCTTGAAACTGCCCTCTCAGTGGAAGATTGAGGGAAGCCTTTGTCTATTGGCTTTCATCCCATTGGCTTTCATTCCGTTGACCTATGAACTCTCTATTGGCTTTCATCCCATTGGCTTTCATCCCATTGACCTATGAACTCAGGTTGCACTCGAATGCGTATCAAGCATGTGCAACCCACACCAAGGAATCAGAAAAGCTCTGGAGCTGGAAATGAGATGTAAGGAGAGGTGCTGTCAAGTTGAAATGCACAAAATTATTTAGAGCTTGTGCAGAACTGATAGTCTTGCTAGCAGCTAGATTAGGAGGTGGGGTGACAGAATTTGAAGTGTCTCAGAAGAGGTGGCCAACACATCTCATCCATAGCCTGCTGGTGGTTCTGGAAGAAGAGCTTCCCTCCAGTTTCCTGATGTGGGTGCTAGCTGTCCAATGGAAGTGCACATTCTGGTCTATTCTTTTTGCCTTAGGTTTTCCAGGGCAGCTCCCTCCCTTGATAGTCCAATAATCTCTGTGACTAGGTTGGATGTATGTCTAACTCTAAGAACCAGAATTAGAAAACCCATTGTAGGCTCATATCTAACCTTGTTTCAACCTATCTTTATCTGTCATAAATATTTTTATCTCCATCCACCTGAATTTACTTTCTCTCATAATTTTTCAGGATTTGAGTGAGGTAATAAGTGTTCTTTGCCAAGACCGGTTTGGCTCAATGGATAGAGCATCAGCCTGAAGACTGAAAGGTCCTGGGTTCGATTCTGGTCAAGGGCATGTACCTTGGTTGCGGGCACATTCCCAGTAGGGGGTGTACAAGAGGCAGCTGGTCGATGTTTCTCTCTCATCGACGTTTCTAACTCTCTGTCCTCTCAATTCCTCTCTGTGTAAAATCAATAAAATATATATTAAAAAAAAATAAAAATAAATAAGTGTTCTTTACTGTGTTTCATAGCCTAGGATAGTGAGCATGGGTTGGAGAGTGTAGTGCA